CAACAGCAACTACATTTTGCAAAACCTCAGACTGAGTATTAATATAAATACAGCAAGATTTATCTATTTAGGCACAAAATGTTTCTGGAGAGACGAACAGGAAGGCTAATTCTATTCTATTTTGTAAAATCATACCTCAAATTTTAGACACTTCTCTGGTTATGATAGTCACAACTTTGCTAAGTTTATCAACAGAACCTCTAATTCAAGAGTTACAATCTCTAAACCCATTAGTCAGATAATTTAGGAGAAAAGGAAAATGGTTTCTTATTATCAGAAAGGAGGACCTTAAAACTTCAGCAATATTCCCACATAAACCCCATAGCTTCCTTTCATATACTCAGTCTTATGTAGTGAATTTCTGTTCCATGTGATTCTGGATCAGCAGCAGTGTGAACTCATCAGCTTCTACATAAGAGTTCTGGAAATCTTGACTGAGTCTAGTCACAGTCCTTTTCATAAGTCTAATATAGTCCATCTTTTTATTGAGATATTTTGGTCAGACGTTCTCAGCAAAACAGGAAAGTAAAAACTTATCTGCAGATGACAAAACTTAATATGGCCATGATTAATTCATAAACATAAAATTCTTAATAGTAAAAGGCCTGATAGAAATTAATTACAAGCCCAACGTAAAGGCCAAATAAAACCAGTTCAAAAAAAAAGCTTTAGATACAAAAAAATTTCTAAGTATAACCATTAACCCTATTCAAAGAGCTTCAGATGTAATACATAATAATTTCGATACAAAATACCATATAATCAAGATATACCAAGAAAATACCAAAACTATCAAATCTCTAAATACCTGAATTGTAAAAAAAACCTTCATAGGTAAATGATGTGAATTCCCCAATCAAACTCTTGGCTTTGATGATGCTAGATTCAAAAAGATAAACTTGCAACCAAGTTACCAATAAAGAAAAAATGATATTATAGGTCACTGTGAAACAATACTTAAGTTATTTAACCAAAAATCTTAAAGTAAAAACCAGAGCTTTCTTTTCTAAAAGCCATGCAGCTTAGGATTCAGACTCAGGAATCTTATTCTCATGAGAAGCCAAACCTTCATCCACCAGGCAGATTACACAAAGAATAAATTAACCCTTTAACTCAGAAATTGAAAGAAAATTTTGTTATTTTAACAGTGAGAAATCCAATTCTTTGTTTTATATGCTACTTAACATTGAAACTTCTAAAAATCACATAAATTAAACTATTAAACTTTAGTCAGATAACACTTGACCATATTAAATAAATTTCTTTTTCAGTAAACTTCTTAAACATTGCCTTCATTGCATATCTCTTATGGTGTATCCCTTTAAATGGCAAAAATCAAAATACTCATCAGCAGACTTAAACATATGTATATCTGTCTATCCTTTCTCTCGTGGCATAAGAAGCCAAAGTATGTAAGCTTAAATTATGACAAAAATCTATTAACTCAATATAACACAAGTAAGTTACCTAAAATGTATTGGGAATTATTTTGAGCCTGTATACCATAAAACATAACTGTTGTTGAAAGAAAGTCTGTTTAAACATTCCAAGTTTTTATTCAATTTTTACTATTTTTCATATTTTTCCCAACCTAATTTTAGCCCTTAATGATACTTTCAAATGGCTTTGGAAATCACAAGGTCTCTGTCTGATTGACCAATTCATTGATATGGATATAACGTTAAGCCTCTGACTACTGCTGGAAACATTTTTCCAGGCCATTTGAGGTGTGTCTTATTGTGATTTCTATTGTTTGACTTCTTAGAGTTCCCCTATAATAGAGAGAACTTGCTTATGGTTCTATTATCTGGATCCACTCAATTTCTGATAACTATAGAAAAGTAGAAATTTTAATTATCTTTTGTCTTAAAAGACTCTC